ATATATATATACATGTATATATATATACATGTGTGTATATATATATATATATATATATAAACAATAAAATATATAAGTATCTTAACTCTCAAGCAAAACTCTTGACTGATACAAAGTAGCCGACATTTGAACCGACGGATGCGCGTATAGCCCCCCGCTACCACCACTCACAAAGATAAGTATACATAGATGTACAAAGAGGAGGATAGATATGAAATGAACGAAGATTATTCAAGAAGATAGTAAGCAAAGTGGAAAGAAATGTCAAGCAATACTGTTTGATACGGCCATGGATTGGTCTGTCGCTATAAGACAAAAACATATTCTCGATTTTCTGACTGAAATAACATTAACTTTCCTCCGTATCTTGATAGTGTGATCTGTTCAGTTAAATCCAAAATGGTTACTGTTTTTCTTATTAAATCTGACTTTTGAGGGAAAAATCAATTTTACATAATCGAATGCTGGGCAAGACGAACACTTACACAAACAATGCCAGGCGAGACTCGTGCATTTGTGATCGAATTTAGTATTCATTTTTAAAGGTTAGCCCGAAATGCTCATGAGATGACTGGCGCAACACAATCCTCCGACATATCTCATAGGGACAAGTGCTCAGTGTACGAATTCATATAAAAGACCATTTTTATTTTAAAGGTTGACAAAATTTCCACATTTGGAAGATGTGTAAGATATTTCGGAAGTAAAACCGCAAGCAATGACATCAGATGGGTAAGATAACCCCCAAATGCACAAGCTACCAATAAAATGTTTATGAATTCAAATATAAACCACCAATATTTAACTATTCCTGAAAACAAGTAAATGTTTATGAATTCAAATATAAACCAACTATTTAACTATTCCCGAAACAAGTAAATGTTTATGAACTCAAATATAAACCACCAATATTTAACTATTCCAAAAAGATCTCAAATATAAAAACCACCAATATTTAACTATTCCAAAAGAACTCATGAACTCAAATATAAACCACCAATATTTAACTATTCCAAAAGCAAGTAAATGTTTATGAATTCAAATATAAACCACCAATATTTAACTATTCCCGAAGCAAGTAAATGTTTATGAATTCAAATATAAACCACCAATAATTAACTATTCCCGAAGCAAGTAAATGTTTATGAACTCAAATATAAACCACCAATATTTAACTATTCCCGAAACAAGTAAATGTTTATGAACTCAAATATAAACGACCAATATTTAACTATTCCTGAAACAAGTAAATGTTTATGAATTCAAATATAATAATAAAACGTTTTTTCATTGAGATCTAACTGCCAATCTAGCAAAGACTGTCATATAAAATGTACCAACCCAACCGTTCACTTTGCGAGAATCCGCGGTACAAGCAAATGCATACTCCTCCACTGTTTTGAAACCTTTCTAATTCTCTATTAACCGAAGACTCGTCGGGTATATCAAGAAAACGGTACTCAGGCATTTGACCACAACCGAATAAGCATTGGCCGTAGAACCAATTGTTCCCAACTTCACTACTGTTCGGGCATAGTCCCCCAGACAAAAGTCTATATATGTACTATTATATATTCATCTTAGAAAATAAGACAGAATTTGACAACTGACCTTATATTTAATTTTTTGAAGATCGTAGTTGACAGAAAAGCAAGAAGCCGGAGGAAAGTTCCACAGGCAAGAAGTGCTAGACTGTTAACGCAGAACTAACGGTTACAACTAGCATTTTCAACAGTGAAACGTAACTGCCAATCGAGTACTGCAATTAAGTCCGCGAAGTCGAGGTACCAAATAGGAAAGCTCATCAGAACAATTGCCGTGAAAATATTTATAAAAAAAGACACAGAGACGTTACGGCCGTGGAAAAGCGAGTGACGCTGAGATGACAAGCCAGTACCGATAACGTGGCAGATTCATTTTGAATTTTTCAAGAAACTTTATAGCAGAAGCACCAGATTACATTTTCCCTATTAAATTTTCCGATAGACGTAATGCGCGCTGATAAAAAAAAAAAAAAAAAAACGGGGTGTCTATTTTAAACACGGGTATTCACTAAAAATAACATTTGAAGCAATAATTATCTATCTATCTATCTATCTATCTATCTATCTATCTAATATATATTTATAATTTGGTTAAGCACTAACGAACGTTTCTTAAGAATATTTGTGTCTGTACTGCCCGTAACTACTGACTGGAGTTATCTCCCTTGTAAAGGAAATGTCACTTTTTATTTTCTTTTTTAAAAATTACAATTAAAGAATCGTAGAAGTTTTCATTCTGAGAGAGAATGAGAATTTACCCGTGTGTCTTCAATAAATTTTTCTTGTGATATCATTGGTTACATCAAAAGCTAATTTCTGTATAATAAGGCAAATTTGCATAGGAAATTTCCTCCTCCCTAAAAAGGCGCAATTGAATGCAATTTTTGCAAAATGTCTAAGGTTCGTTAGAATTATGAGAAAGAAATGTTATAGAACTGTCGTTTGGCCACCAGAAATCGTCTGTCGAACAGACACTTGTCGGCTGGAAAGAATCCAAGTTCTTTCGAAGGTCGAATTGTTGACGTCACATTTCTATTTGTTTGTCACAAATAAACAGGAAATAATTAATTCTCTCTCTCTCTCTCTCTCTCTCTCTCTCTCTCTCTCTCTCTCTCTCTCTCCTCGTGTACTTATCTTTTTATCACCACCGCCACTATACCTTCCCTTTCTTCGTACTTTGATACACCATTCCTTTCTTCCACACCACCGCACACACTTTTAATGAGTTTTCTTCATTTGGGGGCAAATGACGAAATCAAAGTAAAAATTAAACGGATTTGTTTACAGAAAAAAAGATATAAAAATGTTCTTAAAGACAAAAAATATTGTATTGTCTATAACTTTGAAAAGAACCATTATCATAACCACCATTGCTTATAACTTTGAAAAGTGTTATTAACCTATACAATTTTGTCTATAAATGGGAGGAGTGTCATTAATCTATTCAACATTTCCTATAACTTAGAAGATTTATAAGCACATCTAATACTGCCTACAACCTGAGAATGGATGAGAAGAGTTGGTAAAATATCAAATATTGCCTGTAACATGTAGAAGAGGCATAAAAATAACAAACATTTCCTATAATTTTGAAAACTGTCATTAACTTATTCAACTTTATCTAAATCTTGTAGAAAATTATTAAAACATCAAATATTATCGAAAACTTTGAAGAGTGGGTAACCTATCCAATCTTGCCTACGACTTCGGGGAAGGGTTCGTAAAACAGAAGTGGTTGACTTTCCTACGCGTTTCCCCAGTAACCCTGACTGTAAGCCTACCTTTCTTAAGCTCTGTTTCCATCCCCTACTCCTGTCGTGTCAGACATTTTTGCTCTCTTAGCAACTCTGATAATGCCATAGTGTCTGTTAACATATACTACTACTACTACTCCCTTAGCAAAGAACCTGCTACTAACAGAATATCTTTCTGTTATCAACGCGCAGACTGGGAATCGTTTCGTGAAGAAAAGGGTCGGCAACCTATCGAATCTTGCCTACTACTTGGGGAATAGTCGGTAACCTATCCAGTCATGCCTGTCACTTCGAGAATAGTCGGTAACCTATCCAGTCATGCCTGTCACTTCGGGAATAGTCGGTAACCTATCCAATCATGCCTGTCACTTCGGGAATAGTCGGTAACCTATCCAATCATGCCTGTCACTTTTTGAGAATAGTCGGTAACCTATCCAATCATGCCTGTCACTTCGGGAATAGTCGGTAACCTATCCAATCATGCCTGTCACTTCGAATAGTCGGTAACCCTGTCAATCATGCCTGTCACTTCGGGAATAGTCGGTAACCTATCCAATCATGCCTGTCACTTCGGGAATAGTCGGTAACCTATCCAATCATGCCTGTCACTTCGGGAATAGTCCATAACCTATCCAATCATGCCTGTCACTTCGGGAATAGTCGGTAACCTATCCAATCATGCCTGTCACTTCGGGAATAGTCGGTAACCTATCCAATCATGCCTGTCACTTCGGGAATAGTCGGTAACCTATCCAATCATGCCTGTCACTTCGGGAATAGTCGGTAACCTATCCAATCATGCCTGTCACTTCGGGAATAGTCCATAACCTATCCAATCATGCCTGTCACTTCGGGAATAGTCCATAACCTATCCAATCATGCCTGTCACTTCAAGAAGGGTTGGTAATCTATCCAACATTGCCTACCACTTCGAAAAGTGTCGGCAACCTACCCAATCTTCGGGAATAGTCGGTAACCTATCCAATCTTGCCTATCACTTCGGGAAGGGTCGGTAACCTATCCGATGTCGCCTCTCGCTTCGGGAAGGGTCTGTAACCTATCCGATGTCGCCTCTCAATTCGGGAAGGGTCGGTAACCTATCCGATGTCGCCTCTCACTTCAGGAAGGGTCGGTAACCATCCGATGTCGCCTCTCGGGAAGGGTCGCCTATCCGATGTCGCCTCTCACTTCGGGAAGGGTCGGTAACCTATCCGATCTCGCCTCTCGCTTCGGGAAGGTTCGGTAACCTATCCGATCTCGCCTCTCGCTTCGAGAAGGGTCGGTAACCTATTCGATCTCGCCTCTCGCTTCGGGAAGTGTCGGTAACCTATCCGATCTCGTCTTTCGCTTCGGGAAGGGTCGGTAATCTATTCAACATTGCCTATAACCTTGAGAAAAGTCATCGAAATATTCAACATCATCTGTAAGACTGAAGAGTAGTTAAAGTGTCAAAAATAAAATTACAGCACGCTAAATATGTTTACGCGTGAAAGAATCCGACTTTAATAGGAATTCGGCACTCCGAATCATTATCAATTACACCACTCGCACATCCAAATTCCAACACCTGGTATTGCCAAGCGGTCACCCATCTAAGTCCTGACCAGGCTCGACGTTGCTAAACTTCGGTGGTCGTATAGAACTCTGTTCTCCGATTAACAATTCCGAGTCATTGTCAATTACACCACTCGCGCATCCAAACTTACAGCACTTGGCATTCGCAAACGGTCACCCATCTAGGTACTGACCACCCTCAACGTTGCTTAACTTCAGTGATCGTACGAGAACCCGGATCCTCGACTAACAATTTCGAATCATTGTCAATTCATCTGCCCCCCCTTTCTTGTCTTGTTCCTATTTATCTGCGCCCTCTTTTGTCGTGTTCCTATTCATCTTCACCCTTCTCTTGGCTTGTTCCTATTCATCGTCCCCCCTCTCTTGGCTTGTTTCTATTCATTTGCTCCCTCTTTTGTCTTGTTCCTATTCATCTGCCTCCCTCTCTTGACTTTTAACTATTTACCTTCCTGCCTGTTTCGACTTGCTTTTATTTATCTCCCTCCCTCTTTTGTCTTGTTCATATTTAAATACCTGCCAATCTTGTCTTGGTCCTGTTTACCTGGCTGCATATCTTGGCTTGTTCATATTTATCTATGTGTTTCTTTGTTTTCACTTTTGACGTGTTCATAGCTGTGTATCTCAGCCGTCTCATTTCTGTCTATGGTAATAAAACATTTACACCCATAAGTCGGGTCATAAAAAGCGCCTGATGTTTACTTAATCCAAATTGGTTGAAGCAAAAAATCACCTACATATTGAGCATTATCTGCGCAACAAATTTCAAATATTTCACGAAAATAATTGTTTTGAAATTTTGTCAAGCCATTTTATAAACGAATAATTTTTATAAATAAAATTCCAATGCCATTTTAATTCCGGAATTTACAAAAAAAAATAAATTAAATTCTTAACAAATACTGAAAGAAAGAACCAAAATAAATAATACAAAAAATGCGTTAACGAAATGTCTTCCATTCTTGAAATTTTATAGGAAATTCTATTCAAGCATAATATGTGATATATAGCTTGAAGTAGTATCTGGTTCGATTATCTTGTTACTAAGAAATGTAGCTTTATTTTTCAAAGGATTGTCCTGGAATGGGAGAATCCCTTGAAAAAAATAAAGCTAGTTCAAATCTTGCTCTATCAATGCGGCTTCCATGACCGAATTGATAAAGGCGCGATTCGGCTATAGAAACGGTTTCCTGATGAAAAAGGAGATGTAATGTTCGATTTCTGTCAAAGACACAGTTTTTCTTCAGTAGGGCTTCTCGGTTTTAAACATTTGTTGTTAATTTCTTAAGAAATTAGAAACAGAAAACAGGAATAGCAACTCAAATCAACTTTATTAAAAATAACTTTTATAATATAATTTATATCTATAAAACAGAAAATGTGTGTGTGTGTGCGTGCTATTTATGTATGTCCATGTTTCTCGACCGATTTCGATGAAATTGTACCCACATGTTGCAAATTTACCAACATAGACCAAGACCAATTTTTCAATCCCCAGACACCACCCCCGGGTTTCGCAGAAAAATCGATAAAAATGATGGTGGGTACGACTTTTTGAAAAAATTAAAACAAAGTTCTAGGTGAACAAAATTTTTACTGGATGAGCTGATGTTCTTTGCACTTAATGCAAAACATATTTACGAGTTGATAGTTTTCCTGCGACATTGGCTTGACTCAAAAAAATTTGCAAAAAACTGAAAAACTCGGTTTTTTCATACTATTTAAAATAAAAACTTGAATAAATTCTTCATTTTTTATTCGATTTTCTTCCAACATGTCGCAAAAAATTTGCTATTATACAAGGAATAAGATAGTGTAGTTCTAGTCCTGCTCGCTTCCCCACGTATAACGAAAAAATCACGAAAAACCCGTTTTTCGGACATAACTCCCTGGTTTTTTATCCGATGCTTTCCAAATTTGCAAGGTAAGTTACATATGACACACAAATTGTCTAGTGTGAATGTTTGGTATAGATTATTTCATTTAAGTGGACGAAATCTGCGACAAACTAGGCCCAAAATCGGCTTTTGCCATTTAGCCAATAGTTTCTTTATATGATTCCATCCTAAATTGGCATTCGAACAACCTTTGATGGATAGATTGTTTGAGAAGGATTATTGAAACGTTAAAAAGTAAACCTCTTATTAACCCCAGCTTTGCAGTAAATGTGCGAAGAAGGCGGGGAGTTGGCGTTCATGCCTTTGCACTTGCAGTTGAATCAAGCTCTGACGCTTTATCCCTGTTTTTGTTTGATTATTAGATTTGTGAACAATGCTATACTATTTTAACGTTATTACAGCCATAGGGAATTTTTCTGGCCGTTTTTCTTGAATTGCTGCCTTAATTCGTCCAGTTTCAAGCAGTATTTTTCAGAATCAATTGACTGGTTATTTGGCAGAAGCTCATAGAACAGGATTTCTTTCCAATCTCACCAGATTTACAGTATGACTTTCTTAGTATGAAGACATGCTTTTGAGGTGGCTAAAGTTGGCTCATGTCGCTTACTCCATGATCTTTTTCGCTGGACATTGTTGTAAACTATCCATTTCTCATCACCTGTTACAATTTGCTTCAAAAAGGGTGAATTTTCATTGCGTTTATACAGATGAAATGCGATCCAAAAGATTCTTTTCATTCAGATCATGTGGTACCCAAACATCGTAGCGACTTGAGTACCCAGACTTCACTAAGGGCTCATGGATGGTAGATTTTGATATATTGAGTGTTTCTGCCAATTCCCGCGTTGCGTAATGCGGATTATTCTCAAACAATATCTTGATTTGGTCGTTATTTGTAGTGAGCGGGTCTGTCTCAGCATTCTTCATCAATAAGGCTACAATCACCAATTCAAAACTTAGAACTATGCAGAAGTATTTTGCTATCAGCAAAAGCATCTTCCCCGTACACAGCACATGTCTTTTTTTGTTGCTTGTGAGGCATATTTGCCTTTACAATCAAGTGTCTAAAATGCATCTTTCATTTTCATTGTTTTTAAAATAGTGGGAGTATTTTGTATGTTAAATAATAAAAAATTGTTCCCCCCAAAATTAATGAAAATTTATTGTACTAAGCTACGTACCCTAGTAAAACCAAGTGTACTTTGTACCCCTTACCTGTTTGCAATTCTCCCCAAAATTTGGTTTCGATCGGTCAATATATGGCTATTTCAGAATGTCTGACGGACAGACTAACAGAATTTTATATATAGATTACTGTTGCTTTGACTAGGTTTGTCTTGCATATATATATATATATATATTGATTGATTGTTTAGTATTATTTATTAGTTCGCGTGTTGAAATCCTCAAAATATTTAGTACTATTGAAGTTATTGCTAACATTATTTGTCGAGACATACAAACTCTTACGTTTTGTTCAATTTAGCAAACCAATCGATGAAATTTGAATAAGATGATTTGTTTGGAAGAATACTTTGACAAAAAACCCTACTGATGTAATGAAAATGCATACACCTGGGTTCCCCCTCACAGTAATATGATTGGCTGGTGTCAGCCATAAATACAGACTGAAGTAATTTATCCATATTAGAATTCTTTTTGCTGCATGCTGATGTGTGTTGAACTCTTCACAGTATTTAGGATTTGTTGAAGTTATTGCTAACATTATTTGTCGAGATATACAAACTCTTATGTTTCGTTCAATTTTGCAAAACAATCGATGAAATTTGAATAAGATTTGTTTGGAAGAATACATTGACAGAAAAACCTACTGATGTAATGAATATGCATACACCTGGGTTCCCCCCTCACAATAATATGATTGGCTGGTGTCAGCCATAAATACAGACTGATATAGAGGTACAAGACGACGCCTATTGCCTACCACTACGACGAGGACCAGTCCATTACGGTTACCTGCTATATTGTCCTACCCGGTTACAGTAGTCAACAACCACTTTGCTACTTCGAACAAATATATCCCTTTCTGGGACATATCACCTACTTAACGGTTTAATAATTTCTTTAATTTAATTTTTATAGGATTCATAGTAAACAATATTTTTTAAGAAAATTTATTTTTTTCCTTTTTACGATTTCTTAATCTTGAGCATGCAACATACAACTGGTCATGCATAATTTTTTTTTTTTTTTTAAGCCAAATTCCAACTTTTTGAAGGGTTTGGCCTTATGATTTGTTTATAGCTCCGCAAAAGCAGGGCGAACTGGAAACTGGATTCTTGTATATAAAATCTCAAACATATGCAAAAAATCAATATTCATACTTTTCCCAGGGGTATTTGCTCTTTGCAGGTTATTTAAAGCCAGAAAGTACTTTTAGATTGTAAGATTTTTTTTTTTTTTTTAATAATAGTTTCGTGATACTAATTAACCCATAGCTGGGATTCATACCTTTTTCAAGGTTATTTGCGCGTAAGTGAATATAACGAACCCAACTGGAATTGGAACTCGGTTCTTCGATTAAAAATTCAGAGCCATTATCCATTACAGCACCCGGACATCCAAGCTTACCGCACCTGATTTTCCGAAGCGGTCACCTATCCCTCCAGGTCAATGTTGCTTAATCTCGGTAATTGTATAGAAACCGGTGTTTCAACATGAAGGCATTAATTAGTCATAAGACGACTATATATAAACCTTTAGAAATGTGAAGGAAGACGAAAAACTAGTTTTCCCAGTGTTTTATTTATGATTAATGTTTTGGATTATTTTTAATACTTTGTATTTTTATCATATTTTGGTTCTAAAATTTGATATTTTAAATAAAGTTTATTAGATTTAGGTTATCCAAAACATCAACCTGGAAACTCTTGTCATGTTCTTAAATAGACTCGTAAGATCGAGAATTTCATATTGATGTCATTCATAGCACCAAACCCGATCAGAAATATCTAAACTCTCAGCTGTATACAACTGCTTCCTAAGATCAATGTTGAAAAAAAGGCTTTGAGAGAATGAAATCTGAGGGCCTTGTCAAAGGTCATCCCCCTTTGAATGAGACTTTCATGTGGATGTCATGAATGGTACCAAACCCGTTCAGAAATATCTAAACTGTCAATAAAAATTATATCAAATCCAAACGACAAACTTCCAAATTTTCTCTAACGAGTTACCCATCTTTCTCCGCCACTTCTCCATGCACTCCTTGGAGTCTTCTCCGCTACTCCAACGTCACGACCCTCTTGATGGCTCCCACATTCGGAAAACGGATCCCTTTGATGTGACCCCCTTGAATTTGTG